GAGACAGGTTTTATTATTCCCCTTTCATAGACGAGTAACCTGAAGTGTTCCACAGGTACAAATGAACTGCCCAAAGTCACATGGCTTGTTAAGGAGCAGGACTAAAACCCCAGTCTCACTCTTTTGTTCTTTCTATAGACCAAGAGATTCAGACCTTGAAGGACTCTTCTAGCTCAACAAGCCTATAACCTACATGCCTGTAAAACATGTATTTACCTTGTGTACTCCGTGGAAAGTCTGAAATTCCACTGAGGAGATATATTTGGCATTTTAATGATAAACATTTTGCTAAAGTAATGGTGAAAGAAACATTTTCCCAACAACAATTTCATCTATGGATAGATAGGCATTATCTACATCATTTCTCACTTTAAAATCCCGTGACATGACTACGTTTCAGATATAAATAAAAGCACAGTCATTCTGGACACCAACAAAATAACATTTGCAAACCTTAAGAGTTTTGCAAGTTACAATACTAAGGTGACTACTGATATGCTTGTGGCATTCTCAGTATGGAATACCAAGTATTCCTGCGTATACCATGTTGTTTGAATGTCTCACTATGGGAGGAGGTAGACTTGGCACATTGAAAGCCATTCCTATCCTAAAGAAATTATATGGAAGGCTCAAGGATTCTTCAGAGAGTCAGTTGTAATAAAATCCACCTCAGGAATATTCATTTTGTATGAGAGAATGCAAGAACGAGGTTAATTTTACCCAGGAGAGTATTTCAAATCCTTTCCCATTTGTCAGAACCACACGTGCTCCTTTACCTCCCTAGGACCACGTAGCAGGAACATGCCACCTGTGGTGTCTTCTCATACCATGCGTGGTATCTTCTTATAACACTTGAGGTTTTTTTTGCAGGAATTCTGGTCACATAGCCCTCTCCTTTCAGGAAGGCCCTTTTCCTTTCTGTCCCATTCCTGCTACCAACATAGTAGTATCATGCAGTCTCCATGTTGATCCAGTCAGCTAATTGTTTCTGGGCCAAATTAGTGGTTTGGCCCCATTCTCTCCATTGCCAACTTTTGGTGCTATTGTTTTATTCTGATAATAAAAGCAATAATATTTTAGAGAAATATTTTTGGATTTATGTGTATAATTCTGTATAACATTCTTTTCACTTAACATGAAAATAAGCATTTTGCCATGCTGTTTTAACACTTCAGAAGCATTCATTATAATGACTGCATAACAGCCTATATTGTATAGTCATACTGTGATTTACTTAATCAATTTTCTACTGTTGGACTTCTAGATTGTTAAGCATAAATTTTGCCCACATTTTAGACTATTTCTTTAGGACAGATTCCCAGAAGTAGAATTAAAGGATCAGAAGATATGAACATTTTTAAAGCTCCTGATAGATACTGCCAAATTGCTTTTCAGAAAGCTGTTGCCAATTTACACTTTCAACATTGCCAGCGTGTTTTTCTACCAATATAGATTGGTCCAAAGGATAATAAAATGTAAGTGAAACATATAGTTCTTAAATTATTAATGCAGTTGGAGAGGCATCATGACCACAGCAGAGAGGCATCATGACCACAGCAGAGAGGCCTGTGGCAAAGGTCATATCTATTGCCAGGTACGCAATTAAAAATGAGTTAGTGTGAGCACATGTAACTGAAGATTTATGAGAGTGAGGAGCAACATAATTAGATTTGAAACTGTCAAATCTAAGGTCTGTATCTGCTTGGTCCACTGCTATACCCCAGCACACAGGACAGTGTCTGGCACATACAGCCACTCAATAAAAACTTGCTGAATTAACACAGAATCTTCTTTCAGACGCAGTTTTTCAGCAGCTGTAGGATTCAGTCACTCCTGGAGTCAAGGGACACATGACTGGCTGGATGAAACACCCTTGTACAGGTCTGTTCAATCCTGAGATTCTATTTCAACTTTGGAAAATCAGTTTAAATGAAGGTGACACAAAATGGCTCTCTTTAGGAGAAAAACAAGTAAACACATCTAACAGGACATAGTTTGGCACAAGTTGCAAACATATATATACATATACATACTACATATGTGTGTATATATACAAATATATATATATACATACTATATATGTATATATATACAAATATATATATATAGTATATATATGTATATACAAGCATCTAAAAAATATAAATCAGTGAGTTTCGTCACCTCCATAGTAGTCACTTCCACAGGTAATAACAAACTTCCTCAAATGCTGCCCATTGTCAAGGCAATTTTGGAACTATCTTCAATTCATTCTGTTATCACAAGTTGTAACTTGGCATCATTTTCACTATTGCCAAAATTGTTTTTGAGATATTACAAAGGCATACTTTAGGTAGTAGCTTATGTAATATCATTTTTAGGCAAAAATAGCACAAAACTTATTTTGTGGCTCAGAATATGGTCAAGGTGAAATAGTCTTCCATTTAGTTCTAGTTCACTCTCCTGGCCCCATAAGGATTCCCTTTAATATTCTACAATTTCTATAGTACTAAATTGTCAGACACTGCCAGATCAATTTAGCATTAAATGTCATCAGTGGAAAAGGATCAATCATCTGTCATTTTTATAAACACACTTTATACACACTAGACCAGGTGTCAGCAAACTACGGTCCTTGGGCAAAATCTGGCCCACCATTTGTTTTTCTATGACCTGCAAGCTAAGGATGTTTTCAAAAAATATTTTTAACAGTTGAAAAAAAATTTTGTGACATGCAAAAACTATATGAAATTTAAACCCCAGTATTCATAAACGAAGTTTTATTAGGACGCAGCCATGCTCATCTGTTTCCATATTAGCTATGCCTGCTTTTGCATTAAAATGCTGAGAACTTATAACAGACACTGTATGGCCCACACTGCCTACGACATTCCCTTTACAGAAGAAGTTTGCTCACCTCTTCACTAAATCCAAGCGAGTACTTGGAGGTACTGAAATTTCTCACCGAAGATTTTTTTCTCTGGTTATTAATACTAGGAGAAGGGTGATGCAATTGGGACAGTATTTGCAAGGATCTGATAAGGCAGAGACTAGAGAACATAAATACAAGAATGTGGCCTCAGATAGGATGTGAATCTTTGGTAAAATCTTAGAGGACTGCTCCAACTAAGAAGCAGTTGGAGAACGCAGGGTTACATATACAATTCCAGCAGCAAAAAGACTCTTACTAACTGAGCCACATAGGACAAAATGACCAATTCCAAGAGCCTAATGAGACTTACTGGCAATGATGTCTGCAAACAGCAAGTTGGCTGACCAGGACATGTGATACGGTGACAATCCCAACAGTACCCTGTTCCTTTAGTACACATCCTCAAGTCATTTAGCATCCAGATTTATCCAGCCATCTCCAATGGCAACTCTGAACTCTAAAGAAACGGATCTGAAAGAAAGACTCTGGAAAGCAGGCCCCGGGTACACATTCTTGGCAAACAACAAGATTTCAGTAAGAACTTAGAGCCAGGGGCAGAATTCAGAAGACTGGAGAACTATCCATATGTTTTTCGAAATCAAAGATTGGTAAACATTTTATTCTGGTTTAGACCACTAACAGTGAGACAGGTGGAAGGTGGGATAATGGGTAGAGAAAGGATTGGATAAACTCAATGATGGGATGATCTGCCCTGGAAGGTGTTCATTCCCCCCAGAACTCCCAGCTGTGGTATATAACATTCCCTGTGGTTTGGTAACCAGAATGGGGAAGAGGAAGATCAGCCTGAAAGCCAGAGATACCTTGGCTGTGTGTTGAGCTTGAGATTTACGGTAAACGTTTGCAGAGAGCCAGCTCTCCCCCAGATGCCCTACAGGGAGCCATCTCCTATGGTTAGATGGAGCTTCTTCCGCCAGGGTAAATACAGTTGCTGGGAGAATGGGATTTGGATATTATATCTCTGAAAAACTTTCATGACTCCTGAGGACCAGAGGTAACCAAATTGCCTCAAGAAATTAGTAATAATGGTTACGTCTGGGGAGTGGAGTCCCTGGTGGCTAAGGGTGAAAGGGAGATTTTTGTTCCTTCTCTGTGTGCCTAATAATAATAATAATCATCATCATAATAATAATCATAATCATAAAATAAGGATGGGTGGGTATGGCTCAGTGATAGAGTGCTTAGCACGCACAAGGTTTTGGGTTTGATTCCCAATACCTCCATTAAAAAAATAATAATAATAATAAAAAACATGAACACATTCCCCCATGTTATCCCACCCTACTTTTTAAGGACAGGAAGGCAACGGGGGCCAGCAATGGAACAGACAATTTCCGTAGTCAAGACTATAGGGCTGAAGTGGGGAGTCGGGAGAGGGACACGGAAACCAGGAGAGGAGTTGCAGTTGAGTGGAAAATCACAGGCAAAAGAGCAATTCAAGATCAGCACACCCAAGTGGCCAAAAGCAGCTATTGGAGAGTATGGTCTAGAACTAGAAAACAAAGCTCAGGGAAACAGAGGAACAAGATCAAACCAGTTAAGAATAAACCGAGTGATATCTGAAAAAGCCAAGGACAAGGGCCTGAAGCATGATGATGGGTAGATCCCTGAGATTACAGGATTAGACACTCTAGAGGTCTAGGGAGCAAGATGTGGGCCAAAAAAAAGGGTCAGAAATAAAACGGATTAGGGTGTTGGGCACATACGGGGTACTGTTACAGAACTCTCTTGTTTGGGCATATGGAGATCATGCTCTAACCTGGGGTGGAGAGAGTCTGAGCAGCCACATGTGAATGGACTGCTTTGAATGAGTATTTTTAATTTCTCTCAAACTTGAGGCTTCTTAGGGTTTATTATCATCTCATTGAATATTTTCTGGGAAGCAAAATGGACAATGGGTTCAGGTAGAAGTGTGACCTGACTACCACACAGGGCATGATTTAAGGTAATAAACTAAGTCTTTTTCATTATGGCTACTTGGAACAATTTAAATTCACCCTTCTGATTACCTGCTTCCAGTTGCTTTGTCTCCAAACCCTGTCTGGGACAACATTGCTTCTGGTACCCTACCCTCCAGCATGGTCTTGGTCTAGTATCTTCGGAAGGGTCACTCCAGCCCTGTTCACAGGACAGGAATAGATCCAGAAATAAATTCTTTCAGGGCCTCTGTGTTATCAAAGATTGGAGATAATGCCTATAGGTACTGTTGTGGGAACTTGCTCAAGGTGTAGGAGCATACAATTCTGCAACAGTTACCCCACCCCGGGCTGAGTGATGATTATTATGTTCAGCCACAAAGCTGCCAGCCATGGGGGCTTTCAGCAGTGGGGAACCCAGGGCCTCATCTGATGTAGGAAGATGTAAGAATTGAGATGAAATGTCTACAAATTGCTAAGTAGGCAGAAGTCTGTGAGCCATTGTTGGTTTGAGTTTTCTTGCACAGTATCTTCTATTTGTGGGATAAGCTCTAGGTTTCAGGGAACCTCAAAGCTGACAGGTATTAGTAATTTTTTGAAGGCAATAGAGATAGTGAAGGAACAGAACTAAGAATAACTTGCTGAATAAATGTTGGGCCTCTATGATCAACCAATATTTTTTACTAATTTACCAGTTAAATAGGAGCTGCTACATGTAAAAATCCTTGGGTTAAAACATAGACATTGGCCAATCCTGTGAAATGCTGTTACTAACCATCTTCCACCCCACCCCCACCCAACACACACACACACCCCTCCATTAGGCATTCTAAGATGTTTCTAGTCTATGTGGTATTACTTGGAACCCACTTGCGAAAAGTTTCATTCCATAAATCCTGGCAGAGAGCCAGGGAGAGATAAAGGATTTTGAACCAGTAGAGAATGCTCTTTGAGGGTTTGATGAAAGAATTAGATAATCAAATAAGTGGTTATTATAAACCTATCCACAGACTCAGGGGGAAGCAATTTATAAACTACTAGCATACAGTTGGCGGCAGAAGAGAGGAAGCAAATTACTCCAAATTGCTCACCTTCTGCAACACCATTATTTTCCTCTTTAGATTTTGCTATTTCAGCCAATAGTGCTATCATTTTCCTGCTGAGGCAGGTTTGCAGCCTCACACTGTTCCACCTGCCTGGGAAGCTTGCCCTAATTTCCTAGCCCCCTCGTCTCATCCTTCCTTATGGATCCAGTCTAGGAACCACATCATCCATCAAGTCTACCCAGCCCTTGGTGATCTTATTTCACAGCCTCACACTGTCAGTGCTCAGCAGTGTTCTAAAAACTGTCAGTGCTCAGAAAAACACCTGACAATGTTGATGTGAGTTACCAAAAACAGGCTGCTGTGTGGGCACCAGCACGTAGGCAGCGAGCTCCCTTAATTCAAGGTCGAGGGTGTTAGTCTTTCTCCTCATACATCACAGCCTGGGCCCAAATCCCCTGGTTTACATTTTCTGGGGCCAGATCCTTCCCCTCCAGCAGAGGGGATACACCCAAATGAGTCTTTGGGGTCCAAAGTGCAAGACTAGAATGAACAAACCTAGCTCTTCTATCGGGGTAGGTCTGTGAGAAGATCAGTAAGGGGTGGCCAACCCTGAGTTCTGGGGGCTCCCAGAGTCATTTGAGCTGCATCTGCTCTTAGCATTGCTCCCTATGTCAGCATGCCACTGCTTTCTGTACCATACCTCAAGCCCTGACTGTGGAGCAGGCTGGAACTGTAGGCTTTCTTTTGGGTCCTCCCAGAAGAGTATGCCTCCCTGTGCACAGAGACTCCAAAAGGTTCTGCTCCCACCTTTCACTGGTATGATCCCCTGAGGCAGGATATTGAGAACAAAGGAAGAGGACAGCCATAACAAACTAAGGTCTGGACAGTGAAGAGATTCAAACTTGTTAAGACAAAAAAAAAAAAATTAAGCACAAGCAAGGACCAGAAGCCAACAGCCAAAAGTTCTTCAAAGTGTGGAGAACAGCAAGGAAGATGGCCCAAGAGTCCAGCAAAGAGTGAACAGGAGGGCCATAACATGGAGGGAAGTGGGAGGAGTGGTAAAGAAGCTGAAAATAGATGAGCAGCAAATGAAGGTGCCTAAGTGTGAAGCAGCTTTCTAGGTGGGGTGGGGCCACCCCACATTCCTTTCACCACGGAGTGAACCAATCCTGAGCTGCCCTGGCGGGAAGGCTTGTTGAAGATGAAGCCTGCAGCAGCTGGCTGGCAGGATAATGGATTTTGGGATGGGATACAGGCACAATTATTTCCCCACCAGCTTCGCACTGGAGATGACTCCACGTTTCAGAACTTGTTACCTTTCTCCTCACACATGAGCTCTTTTTCTTAGTTTCCTTTGAAAGATCAGACCGAAAGTCAAGTTTTCGAGGTTTAGGTTCATCCTTTAAAATACTCGATGCAACTTTTGCGGAAACTTTCTTCATATTCAAGTTTTCTTTCAGAATGAGTCTAACGGTTTCTTTATCTAAATTTAACTCTTCAGCCATCATCCTCACAGTTAACTGCCTATTTGAACAAACCAAGTCCTTGACCTTCTGGATGTTTTCATCCGTCCGGTGGGTGACTGGACGACCACTTCGGGCATCATCTCGAACATCTTCCCGCCCTTCTTTAAACCTCTTGTGCCAGTCAAAGACTCTGGCCCTTGACATGACTTCATCCCCATAAGCTTCTTTTAAAAGATGGTGGGTCTCACTTGCAGACTTGTTCAATTTCACGCAGAATTTGATGCTAATCCTTTGTTCTAGATAGCGGTCGCTCATTTTATCACTTAAACAATACAAGAACGTTAAGTCCACTACTGTGAGGGGAAGACAGGAGAACTATTCTCTAGACGGCTGCAGGTGGAATCATGTCGCTATTCTTGCTCCTCTGGAAGCCTCATCACGGAAGAGTCATTGCTTTTCTGAGTTTTAGCCCCTCGGCTTCCAGTCTAGAAGCTGATGCGGGGGCCAGAGAGTGGCTGCAAAGCTGGGGATAATGAAGTCTCCAACAACTTACGTCTGCGTCCAACTCATGCACGCAGATATGCTGGGGGTGTGCAAATGAGTCACCAAGGTAGTCCCGTTCCGCGGCCCATAAAAGTCTATGGCGATTTCTGCAGCAGAAGCCTATGTGGTGGCAACTTAAGCAAGCAAGAAGCGATGCACCGGTGATGCAACGTGCAAGCTCGCTCCAGATCTGCGGAAAGGCGCGCACGCCAAACCTACCGGAGGAGCCCGGGGTTCGCCTGCTGTAGAGTCCCGGGAGACACGCCCGCTTGCGCCATTCCCTCCCATCCTGGGGAAGGCCGTGCGCAGGCGCACTGCGGCAACCCACGCCAGGCCCCGCCTCCGCCTCGCCACACCCGAGCAAGCGCGCTTCCTTGCGCGTGCCCGCCCGCGCAGAAGTCGGCGGAAAGGAGGGGCGGGAAGGAGGCTGGAGGAAGAGAGGCACCCCGGGAGCCGAGGGTGCAGTTGGTGGGGAAGGAGGCGGCAGCGTCCCGGGCGGGCGGGAGGTGCACCAGCGGCGGCGGCGGCGGTAAATCCTCCCGGCCGCTCACAGCACTGTGGAGCCGCGTCCCCAGCCCGGTCTC